AGCTCTTTGTTCCCTGTATTACAGTTGTAGGTTTAGTTATATACCACGATGTGTGCTTTGAATATGGCTCTGCGGCAGTACAGTGATTGTCATTTTAATTGGCCTCCACTTGGAGATCTAACCAAATAAAACCCTCACAAATATTTTTTTTTGATTGGGGAAAAGAACCCCCTCCTATCTTTATAGGAAGAAAAAGCCTGGGGAAATAAGCAGGCCACTGAGCGATGCTATTAGTTCATCCTCCGTGTTAGGGCAAGGAGGTGGCTACGCGGTTTCACTTTCAGTTTCTTTTCGTCTGAGTCCCCTGCACCAACACCCTGCTGCGGCTCCGGCTCCTGTGGCGGAGGGTGCGTGTTGGAATAAACCGTATTTGTCTGGAAGTTAGAAACCAGCATAAAGACATGCTCAGTGTAGCTAGTATACGGCTTTAGTGGTGTCCCATTAGTCTAGGATCCAAGTAATTTTCTCAACATTATTTAAAAACACTGACTTGATGAGGGACTAAGCCAATTGGCAATGGAGTATTATGGGAGGCCCAAGTGTGGGTGAGATGTACAAGCCCCTGAAGCTGTGATGAGCCAAAACACTAAGGTTGCTAAAACTAACTTACTCCAACACTGGAAGCATTTTTACTGCTGTGAAGAGGTGGCAGAGGGGTTTGCTTACTGGAGGTGGTAAGCAAACAGCCTGATCCTCCTCTTCTAGCAGTGCGAAGGAGGAGTAACTCCAAATAGGTCAGTGGAATAACACCTGAATAAAAGTAGTGCAGCTTGCACTAGCTAAATGGTGCCAAGGTTTTACAGCTGGGGTTTCCCCAAGTTGTATGTGGCAACTCAGGGGAGTGAATTATTCGTGAGTGCTTATACCATAAATCTGCTCTTCTCATAAAAATTGAATGGCAGAGCCTGCAGATCCACGCAGAGTCAGAAGGGTCTTAGGTATGGGTTGATCTTACGTACTCATCTGCTATTTCAGATGATCCTGGCTACAGAGCATGTATGTATTTTAAGATGACCCTGGGATGAAACACTCTTGAGTTTCTGTTCCTAGTAGGAAGATTGCATTATAGACTTTTCCTCCTATTTGCAATTATGGGAACCACTTCTTTTCCCGTGCATGATCACGTGGCAGCTCTGTAGCCATTACAGCAATTGCTTACATGAAAAACAATGCTATTTTTAGCTTCTTCTAAGGCAGTTTGGTAGTGGGCAACAAGAAGTAGCCAACACCCCAAGGCCAGCCATTTCTGCAGTGGCTGTCAGTGGTCTGCAGTCCACGGCCGGCCAGCTGCTGCTGCGGTGTCTCAGAACGTGCTTCACGAACATTTCTGTTGGATTGCTTCAAAGAACTGACAACTGAGGTGAAAGTTATGCTGTCTGTAACCTCTTGAGGGCACAGTTATGTAGATGTAGACAGTCTTCACTGATAACAGTAAGTAAGTGCAGTGTTTCCAGCCGGTTTCCTTTGAATGTTTGGAAGACCAAGCTAGAACAGATTGCAAGGATCTGTCTTTGACCATAACTATTGAGGGCGTGACAGCAGGAAGTGAAGTTTAACAAATCTATGGCAAATCGGAGCCTGTAATTACTGATCTTATTTTCATTGTGCGCCGAGGCAAGTCACTTCCACTTAAATGAGGAGACTAGAAATTCGCAGATAGGTAGCTCAGATATGACATACTAATTTGGTGAATAGTCTGAATGCAAAGCAATGATTTTAAGAACAGAGCAATAATTTTAAGAACATAATGAACTTAAAGGTTAGCCAGTTTTATGAGAGGCAGTGGATCAAAAGATACAAGTATTGCAAGGATGGTCAATTTAAAGAGCGTTATGCTGGCAAGGTGAAGCTTTTCATTAAAATGGTCAGCGCGCAGGAATTATAGATGAAATCTGCACTAGCTCAGAACTCCCTTTGGCTGTGTAGGACAGCTAAACCAAGCTCAGAGGAATATGAGTCCGAGGGAACAGAGCATGAAACAACCTGCTGACTTAGACACCTCTCTGAACCTGCCACTTTGGCTCTGATTTGGAGTGGCATGTGAGAAGTCATCCCTCTCCGTGATGACGGGGTAGCCATGTGGTTTGTACTGCTATCTTTAGTACTGATCACTCATTGTTTGTACTCAAGTGGAACATAAGTTTTGCTGCTCCCTTCAGTAAAAGAGCAAAGTTTTCAGCAGCGCCTTCTCTTCCTCTCCTCATTTCTCTGTCTTGTTTGCCTTGTGTCTCATGGGAGTGCTGAAACTCCTGAAACTATGGTCCTTGAATTGCTGGTTAGAAAATCTGGAGAGCTCTTGAACTGGAGGGAGGAGTGATGAAAGGAGCTTTTGAGTATTTGAGAAAAAGGGGACACAGATCCTAACAACTTCTGATTTCATCTGAGAAAAAAAAATGTGGCCTTCTGGAAAAAGCTCTCAACACCACACAAAAGTGCTGCAAAATCCTCTGCCACGTGTCCCATGCCAATAGCAGCCATTATAGTTTCCATCACCTGTAGGCTGCTCAGGACAGATGTTTGCTGGGTGCGGAGGGCAGAAGAATGAAGAGTGCTCCATCAAGATGAGGAGAACATTGAGTGTGGTGTGATGGCTCTGTGTTGTCTGTGGGGAAATCTTAGAGAAAGCCTTTGAGATTTTGGGCTGCAGTTTTTTAAAGAGACAGATCCAAAGGAGATATGCAAGTTAT